TTTCATAACTAAAAAATTTCAAAATTCAGTTAAAAATTCGTCCAAAATAAATAAATAGACAAAATTTTCAAAAAGTATATGTAAAAAGCTCACATTTTGTTGAGGATGAGTAGAAGAAGAATCAGAAGATGAATTTACTTGCTCATCTTGCTGCAACCCAAGAAATTCCATAGCTTTACTTCCAGAATCCACAGCAGTACCTGAATCAAAATAAATTTCACAAATTTCAACAGAAAAGGTCCAAAATAAAAACGTTAGGGTTATGGTTTTGAACTGACTCGAGGAGGGATGGGTAGAGAAGGCAGCGGTGGCGGAGGCGGCGAAAGAGGGCGTCAGCGAGGTGGGAGAGGAGGCGGCGGAAGAGGCCGTTGATGATGCCGAAGAGAGGAGAGGAACTGATAAGGATCAATGGGGTCTCGAGGAAGGCGGCGGTGGCGGAGGCGGCGGAAGAGGGCGTCGGCGAGGTGGGAGGGGAGGCGGCGGAAGAGGCCGTTGACGATGCAGAAGAGAGGGGGGAACTCATACGGATAGAGGGTTTTTTTTGTCTCTGGATCGGGGTGAGAAATCTGAGAAGGGTATTTTGAATTTTGAAATGGAACAATTTTTTAAAACAACCCCATTTTATTTTATTTTTTTATTTTTTTTAAATCGACCTATTTTTTTTAGTTACCAAAACCGACCCGTTTTTTACCACGTCAGACTAATCACCCTCCTAAACAGTCAGGGTTACAAACTCCGACTATTTAGGAGGGTGTTAAACCCCAATTAGAAGCCTTAAAACCTAAAACTTTATGTCCTAAATAGTCGGGGTTGGCAACCCAACTGTTTAGGAGGGTGATTAGGCTGACGTGGCAAAAAAAGGGTCGGTTTTGGTAAATAAAAAAAGGGCCGATTTTAAAAATAAAAAAATGGAATAGAGCTGTTTTGAAAAGTTGTTCTTTTGAAATCTGATCGGATGTCTATACAAACGATAGCAAAGAGAATCACTGTTTACTGTAGCATTAACATCACTTGATTGAGCTACATTGTGGATGATCCGCTCCGTTGAACTTGATCTACATATTCTAAAACCCCAACCACACTAAATTTGGGGTGAACTTGTCGTGGTTTGACCATTCATCCACTCGTATCAATTTTAACGGTTTCGAATGAATAGAACTTTTTACAATATGTCTCTTATGAAACTTGCCAAGTGCTGTTGACTACCCTTTTACTGAATTCATTTGTTCCCCTCAATATGTCTCTTATGAAAATTGGGTTAAGAGGGAAGAAGGAGACTGTTGGAGGAGAAAATTATGGCTTTTGTTTGAAAATTATTTCGGAGAAACTTAAAGAAAAGGATGTAAGTGAAAATCTAATTTGAAAATTTGACTTTAATGTAATAGTTCCCCTAATCCACACCGTTTACCATGAAATTCATTTGGAGTAATTAGAGGAGAAATAGCAATTTCAATTATTTGAAGGGCTAAATTAAAAATATGAATGATCTGAGGACCACTGTTTTATAACTTGTTTTCTAATTTCCACTCTGGAATATCGGTAATTATGTCAAAATGTAAATTTTCAATGCAAACAGATACAGTTGGAGGTGATGTTTTTTGTTATAAAGTGTAATTTTTATTTTGCACTTTAAACTTTTTTCCTTTCGGACGCATATAATAAGATGTTACTTGCCTTGTTTAGTCAAAATGTTGAAATCACTGCTCACTAGGGAAAATAGAGTTTGCATATGAAAGAATCAATGACGTTAAAGAGAGCGATTGAGGCTGCATTCATTAAGAACTTGAGTCAAAATTTTAAAATGTTAAGTTTTTATTGCATAGGATAGGATGTTTACTCTGTGCATTATTCTACAATTTGATTCGATAACTAAATCCATAAGTCATGACCTGGTCAAAGTAAAAAAAAAATTCCCCCCTTCTGTGTGTGAAAGAGGAAGAAGAATGGTGGATGAATAAATTTGATAAAATAAGAATTTATCCTCTTTGTATTACAAACCTAAATTAAGAGGAAAGGTAGAATAATGAATCTATTACAATTTCAGAGTAAAATTGGTAAACAACATAGCTTTCCTCCTCCTTTTTTCTTTTTTTTTCTTTTTAGCGTTTTTCTTCTCTGTTTCTACCTAAATTTTCTATGGCAAATTTCAACAATAACAAAAAATAAAAAGGAACATGTTATTTAGTTAAGACCCAGTAAGTCAGTAATATTTACTACAACATATCTAGTATAGATACAACAGTAACAACAACATATCTCCCTTTATTAAAAGTAGCTAACATTAATAACCACTTCACTTTTCGAGTTTTTATGATGAGGAAGGCGCATCTGGCTGCTTATCAGGATGGGCAGCTTGAAATGCAGGATGCTCAGTATACACTCCATGTAATCGCGCTAGAGTAGGGTAATGAGACTGCAAATAACAATAGAATTCTCAAGTATCAATATAAATTTAAAATGTTAACTATCAGAGCAATGTGTGCGGAGATTCATGTTCGTGCACATACTTTGTCTTCGTGCACATATGCAAGAGAAACTCATGTGCAAGCATGCTCACCTATTTGTGTGCCCTTTATGGATATCATATAGGGAGGATAAGAGAACATGTCACATGTCTAGGCACCAAGTTTAAATCATGCAATCAGAATGAAATAAAGAGCAACACATATCAGTGCAAATAGAAATATTTAAACAGTGCCATCAGAATATTGTATCGTTGTAATCAACAACTTTTAAATGTGTGCCCGTACACATGTTGTCTTTTGTTCCTCGCTATATGTTTTTTTTAATCCACATGCATTTTTGTAAGAGAAATTTTTGCGCGAGAATGAATGTGTGTGCTTGGGTTATAGAAGTTATTTACCATGTCAATTTGGAACCTTGTAATTCCTGCAGCAATCTGGGGAGCCAAGAAAACATCAGCCTACACAAGAAAACCATAATCAGATTTCTATTGATTGCTGTAATGCAAAGGCATTGCTTAGTCTGATTAATTCAAGAAAAAAGAACTTCATGGGAGCAAAATATATGCAAAAATTGCATTGGATACACTAGACGATTGATTTACACCTACATGTTTTTAGTTAGGATTAATTGCACGTAGACACCTTGCACTTATTACCATAAAACTAGGCAGACACACCCCTTGAGTGAATTTATTTTTCTTTTTTTACTTTTTACCCTCAGAGGGTCTATCTGCAAATAAACCTCTTTCTGTACATTCTCTATTTCTAAGGCATAATAGAGCAAGAAACCAGAAATTGAAATCTCTCCTCCATCTAATCAGAACGTATAAAGGAATAATCAACCAACAGAATTTTGATGTCTCCATCCATGTATGGCTTGCAAGAACTAAAAGATGATAACAATGCTTGTGCATAAGGAAGTGACCGGATACTTAGATCGATACTAAAGAGGTATATAAAATTTTTTTAAAAAATGATTCCATGTTGCAGGATGATGGAAAGAAAGTAGCGAACAAACCAGTCCAATGTCATCCCCAGTAGCATATCTTCCAACTGAGCTTTTCAACAGCTTTTCAAGGGCTGAACCACAAATAAGTTTTAAATATATATATATATATAGAGAGAGAGATCAGCATCACTTAATAGCATCTTCAGCATCCAAGCTAATTGTACAGAAACAGTGTACTACATACAGAAAAACAAATAAACTGAATATAAACTTAGAAACAAAGTACTAATGCATTTTAGGCCTATCTCTTGCTGCAACTACCTTTATAAGGTAGTATCTAAGGTGTTAACTTGTAGACTACAAGTTTTTATGGGGTATCTTAGTGATTTTCAGTTTGCCTTTGTTAACGCTAGACTAATCACTAGTAATATTCTTTTGGGGCATGAACTTATTAAACACTATGAGAGGAAAGGAATATCTCCTAGATGTATGGTGAATAATGATACAAGGAAGGCTTATGATACTTTGGAGAGGCTTTCTTGGTAAAATATTGCTTGGATTAGGGTTCTTTCTTACGATGCAGCAATGGATTATGATGTGTGCGACTTCTCCCAAGTATTCCATATATTTCAAGGAAAAAATGATCACTTCCCCCTTAAAGTATTGGTGAACTCTCAAGTTGGCCCCTAAAGTATCAATTTACCTATTTTGCCCCTCGAACTTTGCTTATCATTTCAATGTGGTCATTTTGTGAGCCTATAATCAAATATTTAACAAATTAATAACATAAAAAAAATTTGTATTTCTTCATGGGTTATTGTATACATATACACATATATACAAATATACATATACATACATATACATGTATATACCACCTATTATATATATATAATATATTATATATATATATATATATATATATGAGAAAAATGGTATACTTGGTACCAAGGATCATTGTGTAGTGATGTGTGACACATCTTGTCGCATACATCACACCTTGAAGATGGAGCCTCACCAACTTCAAGGTGTGATGTATGGACAAGATGTGCCACATCACTACCAAGGATCCTTGGCCCAAGTATACCCATATTCCTCTATATATATATATATATTATATATATATATATATATATATATATATATATATATAATATATATATATATTATATATATATATTATATATATATATATATATATACTAATATACATACATACATATATAGATATATACATATACATAATATACATATACATGTGTGTGTGTGTGTGTGTGTGTATATATATTATATATATATATATATATATATATATATATATATATATATATATATATATATATATATATATGTATATATACACATGTATAATATATACATATATATACAGATATATATACAATATATATATATATATATATATATATATATTATATATATATATATATATATATATATATATATATATATAATATATACATACATACATATACATATACATATATATTGAGGCAAATTGTTATGAACTGGCAGCTCATTTAGCAAAATGAGCTACCACCTCTATGACATGTGAGCCCCACAATCAATGTGACTAGCAGGGAGCTCACGTGTCATAGAGGCGTCAGCTCATTTAGCAAAATGAGCTGTCAGCTCATATAAAATTTTCCTTATATGTGTGTGTATATATATAGTTTAAGGGGAAATTAGGCAAATTGATACTGTAGGGAGCAACTTAAGAGTTCATCAATACTTTAAGGGTGAAATGATTATTTTATCCATTTTTCAAAGGGAGTCTTCATAGTTATTTCCCTGGTAGAATGGGATTATGGCAAGGTGACCCCTTATCACCTTACCTATTTGTCCTTAGTGTGGAGTATCTCTCAACTCTCAAGGTGGTTGTGTCACAACAGAATGTTTCACTTCCAGCCAAAACGTGCTCAGTTAAAAATTAATCATCTAACTTTTGCTAATGACTTCTTGTTATTTGGTAGAGATGACTTTACATCTAAGAAGCTCTTGCATGATTTTTCTCTGTTTTCAGTCAACAATATGGATTAGCATGCTAATCCATATTGTTCACTTTACATCTATGAAGCTGTTGGATGATTGTCTCTCTGGTTTCAGTCAACAATATGGATTATGCCTATGGTAAGTAGAAGGTTGTCTACAAGTGATTGCAGCTCTATGGTGAATAAAATTGCAACAAAATTTCAGTGTTGGCAGACAAGGAAACTCTCATATGCCGGAAAAGTGCAGCTGGTTAAGAGTGTTCTGTTTGGGATACAAGTTTACTGGCCTAGTAACTTTGTATTACCAAAAAGTGTTCTTAAACAAGTTGATGCCGTATGCAGGAGGTTCATCTCAGGAAGCACCCATGATTCATGCAACAGTGTACTTGTTGCTTGGAAGTCCTTATGTAAGGGTGTAAATCAGGGTGGTCTGGGGATCTTCTCTGTTGTAGGATAGAGTGATGCCACTGCATTGACGTGGATATGGGCTGTCAGTGAGAAAAAAGTTTACTATGGATCAAGTGGGTTCATAGAAACTACTTAAAAATGCATGATATTTGGCATGTTCAAGCTAGAACTGGTGACTCTTGGGCTTGGAAGCAACTCCTGAAAGTGAGAAACTTGTATCTAGTATTCTAGTGAAATGGGGGTCTTATGTGAATTCGCTTTTAAAGTTCAGACAATGGTCTTCCTCTGGGAAATTTAAAATGGCTGAAATTTATGGTGATATTGTTTCCTCCTCTCCTGTTGTGCCATGGTATGGAATGGTTTGGAGTTCTCTCAATATACCAAAGCATGCATTCATTTTCTTGTTGATGATTCAAAAGAGACAGCTTACCCAAGACAGGCTCATGAAAATGGGTCTTTTATCAAGTAATTGCTGCTCATTGTGTAGACTTGGAATGGAAAGCCATGAACACTTGTTTTTCGAATGCATTTTTTCTGCAGAAGTTTGGTGGAATATCATGAATTGGTTGGGGTTTAAATATAGGAGCTATATATGGCATCATATCAAAGATTTACTTACAGTTCAATGGAAGAGGAAAAGCTACATCAATTTGGTGAGAAGACGTGTTTTGGCTGCTACAGTCTATTCAATTTCGATTGAAAGAAATTCAAGATTGCACTAGGGTGTATGCAGGAGTACTAGAGCTGTAGTTAAGTGGATCAAGACTTGTTGTCTTGTGGCTGTGTATAATAACCAAGTTCCTATTGAGTTTAAAAACTAGGTTGACTCCTTGTTAAAATTGGTATTATTGGTGTCTTTTGAGTTTTGTGTTATTATGCTCCTCATGTTGAGGTAGCTTGATAGTTATCATTATCTTGTAGTACCCTGGGTATGCCTGGGATTAAATTCAATACATAACGCTTACAGGTGATGAATAAAAATTGTTCATTTACTTAAAAAAATTAAAAAATAAGAATAAAAACAAAGTGCTAATGCATTTTATTATTTCAAGAATAGGAATCATATGTCTCAGCTAGAAGGGAATTCTTTTTGGAGACTCTCATACAACAAGACCTATATGCTTTAATTGATGAATCGACCATGTGGGCTGATATCAAGAATTAAACCCTGTTCTTCTAGAATGCATGCAGAACTGTTGACTAATCTCAACTCTCTGCAACTTGATGCTCTGTGTACAGTGATTCATGAAGTTATAAGAAGCTCTACACATGATTACGGCAGATAAGATACTTGTTTTGTCAGACGTCTATGTTAGAATATAAAAATATAACCTGACCGCAATTTTGGAGTTTTGGTGCGGTGGCAAGGTCCTTTGACAGTCACGTTATTTTCTATCTGATGATAATAATCATGGCTGCAATAAAATCCTTTAGAATGGAAATTTTTTATTTGAGGATCCACCATGTTGGAAATAGACTTAAGATGCACGCATTGTTGTTAGTGCACTTTCACAATTAAACAGAAGAAATGACACTTAAAGGTAAGAATAAAGAAGAATAAAGGATTCATGTAAGCGACCACAAATATTTTGGATAAAGGTTTACTGCTGCTCTTATATCCCTGAAGTCCTACTGAAGATTGTAATATAATTTTTTCCTTTCCCACATTCCTTTGCATAGCAATAGGCAGGAAAAACTTCTTTATCATGTAAGTGAGCAATATTATTATATGTATAAATACATCTACGTAATGATTTATGATAAAATAAAGGCTAAATTTCAGAACCACCACCCCCCGCCCCCAACCCCAGCTTTGAGTGATTATCAGATAAGCCCAACAACACTCAAAATATCAGAAAACCCCCCAAGCTTAGGGGTTATCAGAAAACTCCTTTAACTTTAAAAAAAATTTAAATCCACCTGAAAGCGTGAACCACAAATTTCATGAGGAAAAATATTCCTGCGTAATTTTACCCACTCCTGTGAAAATTGCAGTCACCACTGTTTTCTTTTCTTTCTTTCTTTTTCTTTTTCTTTTTTTTTTTTTTGGGGGGGGGGGGGTTTTTTTTTTTTTTTTTTTTTTTTGGGGGGGGGGGGGGTGCTGGTTTTAATAAAATCGTAAAGTTAAGAAGGTTTTTGATAACCACTAAAGTTAAGGGGGGTTTCTGATATTTTGAAAGTTATGGGGGTTATCTGATAATCATCCGAAGTTAAGGAGGACTTTCTGAAATTTTAGCCTAAAATAAAATTGTACATCTTCTGCCGAAGTGGGAATATAGTCTCCTTCGGATCTCTGTTTGTGTCTAAAATATTAACTGTTTCTTAAGGTGTTCCCAAATTTACAGAGTTCCAATTTGGCTGCATAAGACCACAAGAGGCAGGACTACCAACATCCAAACCTCTCGTTTGTATTAGTTCCATGGCTTGGGAATTTGGCATCAAACGTAGGGGTCTAGTATCAGACTCGTTTGGTTTCTTTGCAAAGATTTCTTTTCCTAAAGTTTATGGCCCACAGCTGAAAAAACATTTTGATTGGAAGATGCTAGGAGGATAATGATGGCATTCGCATAGCACTGCAGAAGAAAATTAATAAAAAATTGAAGACAACCTGCGAAGCCTTTGTTGAGATGACGCTGAACCCATACTAGTTTCTCATCAGAGCTGATTTTTTCCTCGATGTAATTCTGAAAAAGAAAGGCATAAGAAGCACATACAAATACCAAACTGTGTATGCTAGAAAGCATTAGTGCTTGATCAGGTATTAAAGATAATTTATAAATCAGTTTGAGGGATTGTTAACAAACCAGGACAGCAAGATTCTGAAGAGGCTGAATACTTGAAGTGACAACACTTGCTGCCTAAATAAACGAGCAAAAACGAATTTTCAGAAGTTCAAAATTCTGCATGCAGAAAGTATTTTAACAGGTCTCAAAACAATTTTTTCCACAAAGTAGCAAACTCGACGGAACTTTACAAATGAAGTATACCATTTAATCCCATGTATAGTCAAAACTAGAATGAAATACATCAAAGCAGGATTTGTCCATGATCAATTGATTCTTTAGAACCTATAACCACTTTACTTTACTCGAGCATGGAGTTTAAGAAGTAAGAAGTTTAGCAATTACTTCACAGGTTAAGATACCATATCATGCATGTGTGCGTGTGTATTATACGGATAGATACATTGAAATATAAGTTCGGACTTCGAGGTTTATGAGATAGTGCATCGTCTCAGATGTTCACATTCTATACCTAGGGGAAAACAAAGATTATCCCTGGAAGAGATGGGTATGTGGTTTATGGCACCACTTCTGAAAACCAGCATATTGCCATAACCAATGAGAGTCTGAATCCCTCTCACCTTTTTGTCTTGTTAAATAAATTTCCTTCTTTATTCATTTGAACTAAACTTGTTTTATTATATTCCGTAAAGAAGGACGGCTTGGCCATCCTCCCTAACCAAGTTAAACCAAAAAAAAAAACAATAGAATAAATATAAATAAATATTCAACTAAGAGGAGTCATGAAAAGAACAGGATCCAAATCACATATTCCTTTTCCAAATATATCTGCAGCTGCACCCTTCGGCATTCGTTATTTTAATAGATATGATTACATTCAAATCAACTGTAAACTTCAGGAATTGCTAAACAGAAGTCAAAATGCTACTGATTGTCTTCCTACTTTTTAAAATTTTAATTAACAATTTGACATCTAAAATATTGAAGAGCGGATAATCCCTGAGTTGCCTGATTAATTGCATCAGCAAATTCAGGGGAGTGCCAATTTACCTGGATGTTCAGGGCTTTCTTTTGAAGATCCCGAGGGAGAAGAGGATGTTCAGGATATTTATCCTCCAAATACTGTCCAAAAGAATTGAAATAAATGAACAAAAGAGAAAGCAGGACATAAACCTCCCAATCTATGGCTTGAAAGGAACATGGAGGGGGAAGTCTACAAATAGAATGAGAAAAACAACTAATATTTACTAACCAAAAGGATCGCAAACGAATCAGCAACTACTACATCTCCATCTTCCAATACCGGAACATATTTGAGTGGGTTCAACTTCTCAAACTCTACATGCAGACCATTTCAATACAATAAATAAGTAAATGAAGTACAAAATCCTTATATAAATTCGAAATGAGCACTAATATCACCTTCCCTAACACGATTAAAAAAGATATATGTACATGAATCCAAGAAGAACACTTTTGCTTTGAGCATATGACAAACCAACCAAAAGAGTCAACAACCAATATTTTTTTCTCAAATTTCATTGTCCGATCATAGAAATTCCCAGAACATGACAAGTGTCACTATATTATCACCCAAAAAATGAGGGAAATTTAACGGCTAGTCCTAAATTCATAATAAAACTCAAATATTTCTCACCTGGAGTGAACTGCTCTCCCTTCAAAAGGTTCACTGCTTTGTACTCATACTCCAGCCCTTCAAAATACAAACACAAATTCAATAAAACCTCCAGGACCCATTTCAGCAAAAAAGAAATTACAAAGAATTAAAGCATCAAAATCTGACCTTTGAGATTGAGCGCAATCCTCACTCGCTGAGAGCACGAGCTCCTCCAGTAAGAGTGCAGCTTCAGCTTTGGAGTCTCCTGAAGGAAAAAAAATCCCAAATAAACAACTAAAAACTAATGGGTCGATTTAGATCAAAATTTAGGGGGATTTTTGAAAATTCGATCAAGAGATTGCCTTAGCCTTTGATTCGGCCGCCATTGACTTTGAGCCAAAGGGGCAATAACCATGGTTTATATCTTATCAATAATCCATGGATAAATACAAAGAAGACATGTCGTTTTCAAACGATCGTCATCGTCGTCGTCATCTAAGTACAAGTCTTGATCCTTCACCTAACTAAACTATATCCAATGGTCAAAAAAAAAATGAAAACAAAAAGAAAAAAAGAAGAATACCTTGATTTCAAATGAGGTGAAGAATCTGAATTGTTGGCGAACTGGAGAGCAAAGGGTTTTTGCTAGTTTTTTGCTTGACTGTGTGAAAATTAAGGAATACATTTTATTGAGTAAATTGGGTTTTGCTATGGTCTCAATGATATTGGTGGGCTAATGTTATAAGTGCTTAATAGTGGTAATTATTAGAATGGTTAATTACGAATAGACCACTTGTAAAAATCACTTAATTATGAATAGAGATATAGTTCTACTTTTATATGCGAATAGACCTTATAGTATTTAGCTCAAGTGCAAATATTCTGGTTAGTGTTTCTTTTTTCTTTTTTCTTTTTTCTTTATTTTTAACAATTATAGGAATATGTCCTCACCAATAAAATTATAGGAGGGTTTATGTGTCTCCTCAAAGTCTTTTTATCGAATTTAAAAGTCAAAAGATATTCACTCCGGGGATCTACTCATATAAATAGAATATCAGAAAGTCTATTCGCAATTGAGTTATACTAAGTGTGTCTATTCTCAGTTTAGGGTAGGTGAGTAGAGGGATGAGAGAGCAGAGAGATCAATAAGACGGAATATCATCGGTTTAGTTTTTTACTTGTTGCTTTTTTGCCTAAGGGGTTGTTTGGTTGGTTTCCTAAAAACCAAGAATAGGAAATTGGGTCATGGAAATCTCAAAAACATCAATTTCATCCATTTTCATCGATAAAACTCACCACAACATCTAATAAAATATTATTTTTATCTAACAATTCATCTACTTTATCCAATAAAATATTATTTTCATCCATCAACTCATCTCATATCATCTCCTAAAAAAACCAAACACAAGAAATGGGTCACATCATCCAACTCATCTCATCTCATCTATAAAAATCACCCACATCATCCAATAATATGGTGACAACTCATCTCATCTCATTAACATTTCATTTCCTCCAATTTTCTCAAAAAAACGAAGGAAATTGATTTCCTTAAGTGTAGGTCACATCATCCAATAATATAATAACAACTCATCTCATCTCTTATTTTTAAAAATGAACCAAACACAAAAGAAGAACCTATTATAGGAAATAGGTTTCTTATAATTCATTTCCTTATTTTTTTTAACCAACCAAACAACCTCAAAACAAGTTTTCTTAAAAAATTACTCACATCATCTAATAATATGGTGACAACTGATCTCATCACATCTCCTATTATATGATTTTATTCTTTTTTCAGCCAACCAAACAACCATAATAACAATTTTTTTAAGAAATATGTTTTCAATTCTTTGATTTCCTTCTTTTTTTAGCCAAACAAACAGGCTCTAAATGGTCAAAATGAAGGACAATTTCAAGTCATTGCTATTATCTTTTTTCATGTTTTGTTGGGCATAAAAGAGAAGGGATTTCAATCTCCATCACTTTTTGATATATTCGTCTAGTATAAGAAGCACAAGTCTAAGGGACTGTTTGATTCAATTTTTAAGAAAAAAGGAAAAGGAAAAGTGCTCAAAATTTGATTTCCTTCTATTTCTATAAAATTTTTTATAGAAATTTACAAATTTTATAGAATTCAATGAGTTCTTTTTTTTCTTGTTTGGTTCAAAGCACAAAAAAGGTCCTAACTTTATAGAAAATAAGTTATTTTCTTTTTCTTTTGTTTGGTTGGATATCACTTTATAGAAATTATATTACTAACAATACCCATGGGAAATCACATGGGGAATGGCATTAGTGTACTTAATTATTTTTTTGATATAAGTGTTCGATTTCTAGGTAATTTTCTCTCATTTGGAGAGGAAGTTGATTTCTATGAAATACCACACTTTCCCCTACTTTATAGAAAACATTTCTATAAATATTTTTTAAACCAAACATAGTTTACAGAAATCTGCATAAATATATTATTTATAAAAATGTCATTGTCTATTATGTTCTCAAAACTTTTCTATAAAATGTGTGAACCAAACACCCCCTAAGCTTTATGCAAGAGTTATGCGAAACTTTGCCCAAGCCAATAAATTTTAATGCTTGTAATATTGTGTTCTTTTCTTCGGTTAAACTACCATATTTGTATTTTTTTTGTACTTTCCTATTACCAATTTCATATTTTATGTAGCTCCAGCGATATTTTTGGGATTTCTTTGAGCTAAATATGTAATTAAATTCAAAACTTCACCATCGATGGAAAAAAAACCCGTGAGACCTCGTATGCTGTTATTAGTGTTATGTTATAATCTTGAGAAAGTGGTAAACTATTATTTGAAATATTGATATAATGATAATAACTATGTCAAAGCTTATTCAAGAATGTTTATTCCACTGCAAAGAAGTAAATTTCGAGAGAAAAAAGAGAGGACATAGAATTTCCTCCAGATATAGGGGGAAGAGGGTTGGGAGGTCAAAATTTGCTAGGAGATTAGAAATTTGGCTATTCATTTTTTGCCTTCATGTTGGATTTTGGCTGAAGTCACGAGATTCCTTAATTCTTAGAGATTTTAAAGTAATATGTGAGTTGCTCCTTCTCAATGAAGTGGTTCAGCCTACCCACTTCACCTGGGTTCACTTACGCTACACCCAATCACTTAACCTTATCCCTTCTCTCGGAGGCAAGATGTGGCCCACTTGAGATTTGTGTCTCCACTTTCGTACAATAGCGGTTCATCATTGATTAGTAGCCATGAGCTGTTATAATTTTACTAATTATAAGGTGATACTTATATCAATGTAAACATGATCACGCTCCGTGCGGGTGGGAACTAGGGGAGAATAAAAAAGGAAAAGAAAAGAAAAGAAAAAAAAACAGCTAAATAGATGGAAAAAATTCTAGCTTAACTCTACATATAAGATCAGTTCATTGTATTCTCTTACTTCTCCTCATACTGGATTGCTCTTTTTTTATATCTTTTTTGATAGTATACCAGATTGATCTTTGATGAATTACATTAGACCAAGTGAAATAGAGTACCTTCAGTTGTTAGCTAGTTTGATGATAAAAAAAATATTTGTTATATATATGCATGTTAACTACATATTTAGCAATTCGTAGTTAAGATTCATAGTCTTTATTCATATAATTAACTACATATTTAGCAATGCGCATTTAAATCCAAACTATCTCCTAGTAAATCACTAAGAATTCATTATTTACGTCCATATTTTCTAAAAAAAACTTCTTCATCTATCTATTAGGTTAAAATAAAACCTTTATTCACGCTCATTTTTTTCTAGGAGAAACCCTTTAATTATACGAGCCCGATAAAAACCTATCATGAATATGTGTGCATTTATAACGCGAGTGCTTATATCTATTTGTTGACGTCAATTATCAAACATGGGATTGTTTGTGAATTCGTGGAGTGATTGGGGTCCTATATCCAATTCTAATGAGTGGTTTTGGGGCTCACTTTCCATTCCTGCACATGAAAGAACTCGTAAGAGGATGGAGTTGGGTTCTCCGGTGGTTCATCCGATGATCAAGTTAGTAATTGATTTTGAGTGGATGAGTATAGAGTTAATTCAGTTACGTCGGAAAAAACCAGAGAGAGTTACCTCATGCAAGGCCTCTTCTTTTGTAGTGGATTTGGGAGGCAAAAAGGTAACTTAGGCCGAGTCCAGCTAGGCAGCTGAGATGGCAGGCATGTGCCATGTGTCGGTTACTGAGCGAGGTGATTCACCTGGTTATTTTATTGTAGGAATGACAACATATGCTTGCTGCTGATTGTGTCCGATGAGTTATAAAGACTATGGGGCTAGAGTCTAGAGTAATGATGGAGCTGTCAGGGCAGTTAATACATTAGTAGTTAGCCGGTGAGGGGTCCGAGGTAATTGTCGTCTTTCGACTCTCCAGGTCTAGGGCCGAGAAGCACCGCCTTTCGACTCGGTTACACGAGATGTCGACTGGACAGTAGGCTGAGTGGTACCTTTGGGAGTTAATTGAGATGTTGGCCGAGTAGTACTGCATTTTGACTTGGTTATGCGAGATGCCAGCTGAACATTAGGCCGAGTCGAGGCGGAGGTTATCTGGGTCTCGAAATTGTCTAGTTAGATAGAAAGTAAGACACGTGTCGACTTATTTGTGAAGATTAACATTTAGTAATTTTTAGAGGTGATAACACTATCCATGTTAATTTTTGTTTAGTATCTGCCACCATATTTCTTTGTACACGAGAAGAGTTACATTATGTGTTGTAAAATGTCGATGTTCATAAATAGACACATTATCTTTGTTGAACTTAAGTAGATGCACAGATTATTCGAAAAACGGGTCTAAATGAGGAGTTTTTTTAATAGAACTTAATTTATGAAGAGTTTTCTTGGAAAATGGAGAGTTTCTTACAATTTTTCTAAGGTTTTTTCTTACAATATTTCTAAGGGTTTTTATCTTTTGAAAATTTTACTCTCTAAAAAAAAGCACATTCACACTCGAGTAAACTTATAATTAATTTGTCATTTTAAATTTCATAAAATGGTTCTACCAAGTATATATTTTAGAAAAAATTAAATAGCTATTCATGGACAACAAAAAAGAGGCAAAAAAAACCATGGGAAGAAAATAATTTACGGAGAAATTATGTCCAAAGCGTTATTATGCCACTTGAGTTTACTAGATACATTCATTATTATACATACAAAACTAGAAATTTACATTATTATTAGAAGAATGTCTCACGGACCCAAAAATGAGACATATAGAGAGGGACAGATGAGGTGTCCTCTTTTGATTGTATAATGAGCTGGTCATAGCCAATTCATTATACAAATAAGGGGGGACACCTCACCTGTCCCCATATCTGTTCCATTTTTGGGTCCATGTAAAAACACCATTATTATTATCACTCTTAACTCATTAACTAACCTCATTTTAATAATACATTTTAAAGTTGACACGATATCTCCAAGGAAAGGCTGCCCAATTAAAATCTCTCCTAGTTCTCTCGACCCAAATTTTCTCACTTCTAAGTGGGACCCACCTCTCATTGTTCGTGGTCCGATCCTCGTGGTCAATTGTTCCTCGTCCCCAAACGAAAACCAAAGGGCGGTGACCAAATCCTCTCATTCCCAGTGTTCCGAGCCTCACTGCCTCGTGATAGTTTCCGACGACGGTAAGCTCACTGGGCGAGTTATTTCACTCCCCAAAACTAAAATACCACAACAAAAGGAGAGAATGAAAATAAAAGGACAAAATTTCGTTTTAGACCATTTTAGAAATTTATTTTTAAAAAGCGATCACTTTTAGATTTATTTGTAAATTTTAACCCAGTTTTAGCCACTTGGTTGAAACTGGGTTGAAATTTGTGAATAAAGTTGAAAAACTTCACGTGATTTAGAATCCCGTGAAGTCTAGTCCTTAATTAAACTCCACATGATTTTAAATCCCGTAAAATTTAGAAGTAGTCTAACTCCACGGGATTTTAAATTCTGCGGAGTTCAATATAATATGGTCGCCATAGTTGGCCAAGTGGTTAACTTAAAGAAAGCTAAACTTTAATCATTCCAGTGGTCTTGATTTTGAATCTCATATCATATTTTTTCCTTGAACATTTTAAAAAATACAAGCTATGGATTTGAACCATGTGCTTTCTATCCAAGTCTTATAAACTAATGTTATAACCACTAAATCCATTGCACATAACCACTTATTTTATTAAATTTGTTTAATATAAACTTCACGGGATTTTAAAATCTCGTGAAGTTTAGTAGCAGTTTATCGCCTTAGCCAAACTTTTTGGTAAGCACTAATTATTTAAAAACATAACTTCACGAGATTTTAAATCCCGTGAAGTTTTTCAATTTTGTTCGCAAATTTTAACCCAGTGGTTTAAGCCAACTGGCTAAAACTAGGTTAAAATTTATAAATAAATCTAAAAGGGACCTATTTTTAAAAATAAATTCCTAAAAAATTCTAAAACAAAAATTTGTCCAAAACTAAAATCAATATAAAATATAAAAAAGATAAAGAAAAGAAAAAAACCCAAACAAAACCCTCACATCCTCTCTCTCTCTCTCTCTCTCTCTCTCTCTAAAATTCTCCCCCTCATTATTAGCGATTCAAAAATTGGACCCTAATCCTAACACTTACCCTAAAAAAAACCCTAATTGAGTGCAGAAATTGAATGGAAGGGGGAGCAGGGGCCTATAATCCGAGGACGGCGGAGGAAGTGTTTAGGGATTTTAGGGGGCGGCGAGCTGGAATGATCAAAGCTCTCACTACCGGTATTCTTATCTCTTAATTCTCCTCAAAAAGTTGTAATTTTGGTGGTTTTGGCTTGTGTCTTTGCGTTATTTGACTTTGATTTGTTTCGTTTCTTTATGTTTCAGACGTGGAGAAGTTCTATCAGCTCTGTGATCCCGGTGAGCTTGCTTTTCTCCTTCAAATTAGGGTTTGGTTTCAGGATTTTTTTAAAACTTAACACTTAAAAAGTATATTTTTTGTGCCAATTTCTGGGAAATACACGCTTTGGTTTCTTTCTAGGGAAGCAAAGGACAAACTTTTTTGTGAATGTTTTAGGCCATTGAGAATTAGAATCATGAAACCTGTGGTTTTTTGCTATGTTCCACAGGTATTTTGTTTCTATTGCACATTTGAGCGAAGTTCTATATTAATGGAGTCTGATTTTTCGAATTAGTTGACTTCCCTTCAATTGCTAGTGGATGTTCTTACGTTTATTGCACTTTTATTTGTAGGGTTAAGCTGATAAAGGAACTCATATGGTTTCTGAATTTTGGCGAGGGGTTGGGGGTGGGGGTGGGAAGATCCTCTTGTTTCAACATATATACCGTCCTTGGGAAGCAGCCTGTGTTAATTTTTTCCCCCTCCAGAAAGAAAATTTTAAGGGTTTATTTCGCAAAATTCTGGATTGTTTTTGGGGTTTGCACAAAACTCCTCTGAATTTTATAAATCAGAAACCCCTGCACTTTCAGAATTATATTAATACCCCCTTCAACTATTGCAAAAATCTTATAAATGGTGTTAATGGGTACAGTAAACAGTTTGAATGTATGACCTGATTGTTGTGTCTTGTTTGCTCATATACTTCATTCAAAATTTCATCATACTCTTATAATTCAAACTTGTTGCTCTATCTGTTGATGCCTTTTATGATATTTTCCAATAACTCAGGGGGATTAATATAATTTTGAAAGTTCAGGAGGGTTTTCTCTGATTTATCGAATTCAGAGGGGCTCTACGTAAACCCCCAAAGTTGAGATTTTGTGAAATCAACCCAAAAATGAAGTGATTGTGAACATGAACATCTGGCACCTAGCCACTTAGTGGAACTGAGGAATTTTGTTTTTCTTCAAATTGTTGAATTTTCTTTATCCTTTGGGCGTTTGGCAAAGGGTTAGTGAAGGGATTAAAGGGGTTAATCCTTCACTAACCCGCCAAACACTAATTTATGGATAAGGGATTTGTTAAACATTGATAAGCAGTTACTGTTATCTAACCATTTCACTGATGGAGGTGGCTTAAAAGTTAACCTGCCTCACATGGGAGGGCAGAGACTGTAATTTAATTTTAGTTGTAACAGCTGCATATTGATTATGCTATACTATTTAAGTTCATTTAATTAGCAAAAGTTGAATGGCCCTCAACTGCGTGCAAGGTTGTTTCAGAAGTCGTATAGAGCAGCGGGGGTCGGGAGACGATGACGAGGTCGAAAGAAGCAGCGGGAGACGATGACGACGGCAGCAGGACCGAAGAAGGAAATGGGTTTTTATTTTTTTTGATCTGGAGGCGACGGCAGCAGGACCAGGACCTTTAGGGGAAATGGGTTTTTTTTTGATCAGGAGGCGACGGCAGCAGGACCAGGACCTTTAGGGTTTTAGACTTAGATGAATTTAACTTATGAAAAGTGGGCTCCACCCACTTAGACTCAATCACAACTATTGAATCATTTAAAAAGCAATCCCAGCCATTGAACAATATAACCTAAGCTACAAAGCGCCACGACGACGCGTTACGTAGCGTGCGCTATGACCAAAATAGCGCACGTTATTTTGTGCGTGCGCTATTTTACACCGCTATGTGGCGGTGGGTTAACGCTACGTTACGTTAAGCGCTATTTTGCGCTACGTAACGCGCTATTTTCTACACTGGTTTTGATTCACACTTGCTATTCTCTTATTTTCGTTCTCATTATTTGGAACATGTTCGTCTATTATTTCATTTTCTAACATGGAAATAAATATAGATAGATTTACTTGTAAGTTTCCATAGTTAAAATTTTGGCAGAGAACACTTCTTTTTGCTAATTATGAATATGTGCATTCAGTATTTTGTTGTTACTTGCATTTTGTATTGGGAGTCAGAACATATTTCTTGAACATCATTAGACAATTTCCTACTTGTGATAAGGTGGAAGTTGGTATTTTAAAACTTAGTAGTATAACCATTTTAACCCTTTTTTATTTGCCAAACATAAAAAGTTAGCCCCTTCACCTTAACTATCTAATCCAAACGGAATTAATTATTTTTAACCCCTCGTAAGGCATAAGTAAGTTAACCCTCTTCCTTAACCCCTTGCCAAACGACACCTTGGGGTTTTATTCATGCTACTTGGAAGTCAACATTTAAACACGTAATTCATTAGTTTCACATTAAAGTTAATGCCTAGGTCGTCGTTTAGAGACTTCAGAAAATAAAATTTACATGATTACAATTTGCTTCCTCCAATTTCCCAACAAAAAGACTTGGCTTATGTGTATTCAAAGTTTACCCTTAATGAGTTCCACGATGCACAGTTGGGCCTCAATGAGCTTCAGATTGGAGGGAGGATGGGTGAGAAGGAGGTTTGGTAGATAGTATCGGCAGCTAGTGATTATCTGCTTTATATACTTTTAAAGGCTTGATGTGATTTTAGGAAGTGTACTGTTTTCAGTATCAAATCTCTTACTCGATGGATCTTTTTGCATTCAGTAGTAACCAAACAATATCAACAGCTACGAGGCATGTGATTTGGTTACATTGAATGCAGTCTATATAGTTGTTGAGTATATGCAGTTTAAGATACTTAAAAGTTCTTTTCAGCATTGTTTGAGAACTCTTATTGAAGTTTAATTAGATCCATGTTTCATTGAAATACTACCTATTATACATTTATACTGTTATTTGCATTGTTCCTCTATGAACATATCCTACTTTAGCCTCTTGATAGACATGTTCTTTCTTTAGAGCACATACCAAAGTACTAAGGGTAGCTTTTTAAGATCATATACTATATCTTGTTTTCTATTGCATGGAGCACATTCTAAGAAATCTCAATAGAGCTGAGAAATGCTAAAGCAGTTTTTCTAAAACAAAAGTTTTTGACGGACATTCTTACTGTTGCATTTATAGATATGTCAATGAAATTATTTACTTTTTGTGAATATGGTACTTCTTTGATTATGCTGTACTATTGTATTTCTGTAAGTATGCTGATCTCTTTGTAACATGATTGTGTTTGCAGACAAAGAGAACTTATGTTTGTATGGGCTTCCTAATGAGACTTGGGAAGTTAACCTGCCAGCGGAGGAAGTTCCTCCTGAACTTCCTGAGCCCGCATTGGGAATTAATTTTGCTAGAGACGGGATGGATGAAAAGGATTGGCTGTCACTAGTTGCAGTACACAGTGATGCATGGCTATTGGCTGTTGCCTTCTATTTTGGTGCACGTTTTGGCTTTGACAAGGATGCCAGGTATATATTTATTTCTTGTTAGATAATGGATTGTTTAACTTACTACAATTCATATATTTTCCTTTTTACTACTGTCTGTCTTGTTATGCTACTGATCTAATAGTGAATCTAATGATGTATTGGCAAACATATGAAGATGGTTTAATTGGTGGTTCTCATTCATTGATGAGTTTTGCAGTAGTCCCCAAGCGATGGTGTCTCTATCATTTCATTGTTCTTCTTTGATCTTTGGGTGGGACCTTAGCAGATTGAGGGAGAACATCGTTTCTGTACATTTATAAAAGTTATTGTTGATTCCTTTTTCTTTTCTTTGGCTCATGTAATCTGGTTGCAGTTAAGGTTTTTAATTCATGTCTCATGTCAATTCAATATGCTGGGCAAAAGATTGAGCTTCTATTATGTGTCAAATAATTGCTCATTAGCAGATCAGGACAAGAGGCATATATGTTTCTGGCGGTCAGCTTTTTTGACATTCAGAACCTCTAGTTGTATAGAACATTGCCTATATGTTTCTGGTATTCAGCTCTTTTGGCACGTTGAGAGCGTTATGCATGCTTAAAGAGTTTAGATGCACGAGTCGCCCATAATCGTTTTGATTTATTGCTAAGTCGGTTCTGATTTTTATGTGAGGTAAGCTGGGTGATTAAATTGAAAGCTGCTTTGCTAGAACTGGAAAGAAGTCTATACTAAAACCTATACTAAAGTCTATGATAAAGTATATTTAAAGAAAAACTTGTGTTTCTATCAATATATACCCTAGTTCATTAATGTTTATTTTTAGAAACCTTCTCCACTTATTTATATAAGTCAAATTATTAATCCCAATGTCATATCCTTTTACAAGTTTCCAAGACTTAAATGCATTACATCTCTTATGAAAAAAGTTGTCGGTGAGTTTTTTATTAAAACTTTCTATTATTTGGCAAATTATAATAGTTTTAAAAAATATTAAAGTTGATGTTGCTTAAAGTTTTGATACTTTAATCCTTAATTTTAGAGCTGCCTATTTTGCTAATACATGCTTCTAGAAGAGTGGTCCAAAATTGAGATATTGAACCTTGTCACATACATTGTTTTAAATATCATCGACATGACCCGATATATCGCCTGATGTATCCTTTTAGAGAGCTTGCTACAACCAATATGGTCTCTAAGTATCCTTTATCGCTTTTTACCTATTTTGGGCAATTTATCCTCGATACGGTCGATATATCAGCCAATATGTTGGCCGATATATCATTTTATATGGCTTGTGGCAAAACAAGTTTGGCAATTTTTGGATGAGATATCTTGATTTTTTTCCCATTATATAAATGACATTTTGGGCTAAAAAAATAAGACGAAATGTTGCGACATTGCTTTATACTTTTGTTTGTTTTACAATGTTGATTAATGATACTTAACATATATTATTTATATTTTGTATGCTTAGATTTTATTAGATTTTATTAGGTATGTTGAGATTACATCTTAGTGCATTATTATACAATATATGCAAACATCCGTTATGCCACTTTGAATTTTACCACATATCTCCAATAATTCCCTGATAAACTCAATCCGATGTGAATTTTGGCCATCCAATATTTCTCCCTATGTCCGATATTTAGAACCTTGGTCACAGAGTTATACTTCATATACTGTCTTCTTTTCATTTTCCTCTCTTTTGTTACCAATCTTCACCTAGAAGAAGTTCAAATTAGCCTTTTTGAGAATTATGTTCTACAAATATCCCCTTTTTTCATTTACTTCGCCAGTTCAGATCTCATTTTGATTTATTCAGCATTTGATATTTTATAGTAGCATCATGGATTTACTTGGTATATTGTCCATATGTTTGTAGAAGTTGGGTTCCAGTAGTAATCCTTCTTATTATTTACTTCACCAGTTGTCCATATGTTCTGCAGATATCCCCTTTTTTCCATTTACTTTGCCAGTTCAGATCTCATTTCGATATCCAGCATTTGATATTTTATCGTAGCATCATGGATTTACTTTGTATATTCTCCATATGTTTGTAGAAGTTTGGTTCCAGCAGTAATCCTTCTTATCATTGTTTGTATATGGATAAATTGTTCCCAGAAGTTAAGTAGCTGTTAACATGCTGCCCTTGCAACTTCATTCTTATTTCTTGTGTGAACTTATTAATATATTTTATTTATCTCAGTGTTGTCAATGCGCGAGGCGCAATGTGGGGCGCAAAGCATCTTTTACGCGCACATGCGCAAGGCGCAACGCGATGCTCGCGCCCGAGTGATGCGAGGTGCACACCGCACACATAATTTCTCAATATATATAATCAAGCGCGAAAGAACGTGTTTTTAGAATTTACATGAAAAATATGTCAGGTTAAATAATATATTACTACAAAATCACAATATAATGCCTTAATTTCTAATGCTAACACCCGACATAATAGTAAAATTCATAAATTTTCAAATCAAATGTTAAATCAAGACTAATATCCAAGCAAATGATTAGTAATGGTCCTCAACTGAAGGCTACTAAAAAGGCCTAATGGATTTATTTTGCTTTTTGGGATATGGATTATCAAGTATAAAGACTCGATTGAAATATTAACAAACAAAACTATATGAGGATATGTACTACAAGCACTTTGCACAAAGTAATGATGTACGCGAGGCGCAAAAGACGCTGCTGCATCAGATGTGGGGCGCTTTGCCACCGCCCCACATTGCAAGGCGCATGAGGTGCAGTGAGACGCGCGTCTTTGAAAACAATGATTTATCTTATAAGATAAAACTTAGCCTACTGTGTGGCTTAGGAGTATCATACTCTGTGGCTTATGAGTATCATGCTAGATAACAGCATGTATGAACCTTATCAATTAAAAAAAAAGCTGCAAGCCTGCAACAACATAACTTAATGCTGAAAATAAGCATGAAAATTTTGTATCCACTAAAACCTCTTTTTTGTTGTTGTTGTTGATACTGCTAGATGTCACCTTCTTACTACTAAATGTTAACGCAATCGTCTTATTGTGCTTGATTTGCTTGTTTAGAGGCATTTGTCTTCTCCGTACTATCAGGTATTATGTTACCTGTACACCTTCTTTATTTGTAGAATAGTCACTCCTCCTATGCTGTAAGTTGGAAGCTGAGAAAATCATCTTTAATGTACAGTCACTTTACTTAATAGCTTTATACCTCACTGTTGGAAGTTTTATAAGTTGACTTTCTCTTCATACACATGGACGCTTCTTAAATTTAACCCTTTTCTAGCTGATGATCAAGTGAACGAAACTACATGGGTCGCCGAAAAGGATGCATCATATTGTAAATGGTGAATTAGCCCGAGTGCTCACTCTGTCTTTTTGTTCTTCGTGTCGAATTGTGAGTTTATATGCTTCTGTTTCATAGTTTGATGCTCTCATGATAGGTAACAGCAGTATTTTTATGAATATCCTAGTATTGTAGGAGTAATGTAGGACTTCATCACTCAGATCTATCTCTCTCACCAATATTGCCTATATGGAAATGGGAACAGATTTATTGACTTTGATAGTTTTGTATAGGTGTTGCCAAGAAGAGGAAGTTCCAGATCTAGAGCAGTATAAAGCATTTGCTGCTTCTGCTGATTAATTTGATATAGTAGAGTATTCTATTTTCAAGATTCTGCATTGCGCATTGAGATTTTATCTAATTTTCGTTATCTAATTTTCTATTTGTTTATTGGTAAGCGTGGTTGTTTCTGGTTAGTGCTTGAAGTTTTAGCTTAAGAAACAATGTTCGGACTATATAGTGCACCCAACTTTTGTGAATCCTACAATCATGAGGACATCCTTCCCTTAAAATGCTGATGCCTTATTATAGAAATATTGGAGGTGTTTGTGATAAAACAGGAGTGAACTCGGTAACTGCTATAATATTTTGCTGCAAAAGAAAATTTTGGGTTTCTTTCTCGTGAATTGCTATCGGACGTTATGAGTGTCTGAGGACCCTACTTTTTGTATCTTGTAATACATCAGAAAAATGCAATTTGTAGTCTAGTTAGCATTACCCTATTATAGATGTTGATACATATAGGTCCAGGAATAGGTATGCCATGGGTGTTTTAGTTATTCATTATTTCAATAAAACAAATTTGGCCTTTCCCCTATCACAGTCTAGGTTTCATGTCGTGTGTAAAATATCTAGCATACAGTGGAAAGATGGTAGAAGTTTTGGTGAGGGTTAAGGATTATAATTTAAACAACAGCTTTAAAATGGACTGGTGTGGTGACACTTTTGTTTTCTGTTTCTGCTGCCACCTGTAGCTGTTAGCGCTCTTGATGCCAGAATGTAGGATGTAGTATGAATGAAAGAGAGGATTAATTGCTGTGGTTTTGTTAATAGATTATGAAAGAGAGGATTAATTGCTGTCATTTTGTTTTTTGGATTCTTGAAGAATTTTTGTTTCAACCTGTTTTCGTCATCTTTGTTCAAAGTTCTATCCTGTTGCCTCTAGATAAAAGAATTATAAGATGTTGATAAAAAAAGAACAGGAAGACATCTGTCCTCTTTTTTCCTTTCAATATGGTAAGAATGCACTGTAATTCATGAAGCAGGACTCTTGGAGATCACTGTTGGAGTGGCTTTTATTGGCTGCTTGCATCTAGGTATTGCCTTTATGTCAATACCCAGCAGAAGTATGCCAAACGTCCATACTCTTGTAAAATGTAAAAACTTTTTCTTGAATTATTTGAATAGAAAAAACCGTGATGTGTTAGATTTTCTCTGCTTTGTGGTTTCAGTTATTATTTTTAGTTAACTGGTCAAACATGCATTAACTTGGACATCAGTTGTCAGCACCGATTACATTTTCGAGTTCATTGATACAAATTTGTCAACCACTAATATAACTGTTTTTGGGGGTTAACTTCGCCTATTTAGTGTTTTTTTTGGCTATTATTATATGGGAAAAGTGTTCCTAAGGTGCTATGAGAGATTGAATCTAAGGAAGCACATTCAAAGCTACGTTAAAGGCAATCACTTTAGTTGATCCTCTCCATTCATTTCGATTTATATGTTTTGGATTATATATAAACAAAAGATTAGGCATACTGGGTTATAGTTACTCATGCATCAAGTGATTGTAAAATTAATGGTTTTATGACAATACAGTTTAAAGAGACGATGACAAATATATGTTAGAAGTAGTGAAACATCATGATTTTTGTTTAATAGATGTTAGATATTTAGATCGTGATGAATGGAGCCGATCATCCATTGGAATAGTCTAATCGATGCATCAAGAGGTGCTTCCTATCTTAGGAACACTTTCCCCATTATTATTGGCGGTCTTCACTTTGGCAACTGGTAAAAGTTTTTGTTTCCATGATGACCCAGACCTTTATTCCTACTGAAGTTTATGTTAATTTGATGTGAAAGCCCTTGTTCTGTGTAGACTCTGTTATGATTGAACAGAGCTCTTTCATGGTCCTTTCAGAAGATGCTAAATTTTACATCTAATCAAAGATTAATTTGTGAATGTATATTATATATTCGTCTACCTATTCTTTCAAGTGCTAATATTTTATTTTACTTTTTGAGCTTGGCTCTTTCTTCTCTTGCTCATAGAATGCTCGTCACACTTTTTGATCTACATGTCATATATCAGAGTGTTACTGCTGATAATGATATCTACTTGTAAGGGTTTAGCCAGAGAGTGCACAGTGCTTTATATATCAAATATATTGCACATGTGATAGTAGTTCATTTTTAAGTTGTGAATATATTCCCTCATTTTCCATATATGTTGCTAATCCCCTGCACCCGCAACCTTTTTTATTCAGTTAAACGTTCTTTCTTCAAAGTATTTGATTCACTCATACTCCACAAAATGGAGATGTTAAAGAGTATGCTTATTGGTATGGCATCATGTTTACAGGAGGCGGCTCTTTCAAATGATTAATGGCCTTCCTACCATATTTGAAGTTGTGACTGGAACTGCCAAGAAGCAAACAAAAGAGAGGACACCCAACAGCAGCAAGAGCAACAAGTCAAATTCAAAGGTAAACCATGCTATTTAACTTTTCTGCACATAAACATTGAAATTGATTCTAATTTTTTCGTTCCATTGTCAGCCATCACGTCAGTCTGAGATAAAAACCTCCAAAATGGCTCCTCCAAAAGAGGATGATGATAGCGAAGCAGGAGGAGAAGAGGAAGAAGAAGATGAGGATGAGCACGGGAACACTTTATGTGGTGCTTGTGGTGAGAATTATGCAAATGATGAGTTCTGGATATGCTGTGATATCTGCGAGAGATGGTTCCATGGAAAATGTGTGAGGATTACTCCAGCTAGAGCTGAGCACATTAAGCAGTACAAATGCCCAGCTTGCAGCAACAAGAGAGCCCGTGCTTGAACTTTTTGGAAATTATTGGATTCAGGTTTTAGACAGTGTTCTGATGTTGTGCATGTCAGTTTGTTATTTCGGGTTTTAGTGCTAACGGATCAATTGTATGGGTTTACTCTTAATTTGAAGTCTGGATATTTCTCAGCGTTTCTAATAGACTGCGTCATGTTTAAACTTTATTTAGTACTAACAAATCTTTCACTGTCCTTGAGTCTCTGATGTGGTTTAATTCTGTTAAGCTCAGTTTTTGTTCTTCGACGGAAACTCAAGTTCGTTAATGTTGTTTAGATCAAGCATATTCATGTTTGATCATGTTGTTGGTCATCTAGTTGGACGCTGGTTTTTCATTCTGGTGTTTGAGGGATTGCTCAATTTTTCTCAGAAATCTTGAATTCATTATTTGTGTTGTTATATGCTGCACGTGTTCTTCTTCTTCATCGTTCATCTTGGCGCTCCATTGATTGCGCGTTGACGTTTTAGTTCATGAGCATGTTTACTAGCCTCAAACGGAGGTTTTGTAGCTCCTACATAATGATGGATGATGGCTTTGCTCTGTGTGTGGCTCTTAAGATTAAATATTGAGAGCTCTCTATTTTGTGGGGACCAAAGCAAGTAAACTATTAGCATGGTGATTGTATTGGATAGATATCAGAACCTATTAGGCCTTGTCTTAAAATTTCCCTCTCTGCAAATATTTTCATATGTGGATGTGCAAATGAACATGGCAACTGAAGTATGATTGGGCCTGTTTAATTACTTACAAACTGCAGTTGTTGTGGGTTGTAGTTGTAGATTTGTGTGGTGTATGATGTGTGCATAAGTTTCAACAGTTCACTGGCACAATTTTCTTTAAAATGCACATGGTGCTTCTCTACTACGAGGCTCCTTGGACTAAAATACAATTAGTGCTCCAGATTTGGGGTCCTTGACAATCTTTGCAATGAAGTGACCCATCATTTACAATCGCAAGGAAGAACACTACAATGAATTGTCCTATCATTTACAATCATTGATGTGAAGCCCCTTAGATTCTGAAAAATTATAACTGAAAAAACAAGAATAATTCTAATCAAATAAATTAAATTAAGTTATAAAAATATATTCAGAGAACCCCGACGCACCCCCACCCCGCCCCCCAACCCCCCAAAAAATAATTCCACAAGACCCCTAAACTTTGAGGGGTTTTGCACATAAGCCCCCTAATCTCTTATTCCACTGAACTCTTCTTAGATTTTCGACTTTTAAGTCCAAGCACGCAATAAAAAACGATGTCAGTCACCCAACTGAATTGTTAAAAAAATTTAATTACAATTGTAATAATTGCATTCAAAAAAGGAGGGAAAAAAAAAGAGGGAACTTACATTAGCATAGAGTCACATGCTATAACATGAAACATTACTATGTAGTACCACCCTTCACTATAAGCATTATATATTGGTCTTTTGTCAGCTTCTTTGATACTTGTTATCTTTTCATAAACCTCCAGTCTTCACTACAAGCAAGTCACGTTTATAGATTACATCTGGCTCCCTAACAAAGAGCAAGTGGCATCCCATGGTTCCATGAAGGCCGCAATCAAATAAGGGATGATACACGAAGGACAAATTTTCAAAACAACCATGTTTACAATAATAATCGTAAAAAAGACCTATTTTTAACTTATTTTCAGAAACCGATCTGGTTTCAGCCTCAGTGCTGACACCGGGTCGGTTTCTGGAAAAAAATTTCCGAAACTTCACGGGAGTTGAACTCCCGTAAAGTTTCAGAATTTTTTTTTCTAGAAACCGACCTGATTTCAGCGCTGAGGCTGAAACCAGGTCGGTTTCTAAAAAAATATGTCTTTTTTTGCGATTAAAAGTCCAAAAAGGACAGTTTTAAAAATTTGTCCCATACATGAAAGAGGATGGAAAACTTTGAATGTTGCTATAAAATATTTGAGAGGTGCGCAATAACTCCAAATCATCATCTCACAAGATGCGCGTGAGGCCATAAAGTCAATTCAAATTGTTCCCATGACAAACTACTTTTGCTTTACATGCTACTATAAAGCTATAAAGTCAATTCAAAGTGCTCCAAAACTTGACTTTTTACCATCTTGGTCAAAGTTATTCCCCTTAAACTTTGCCCATTTGTTAATGTTATTTAATTTATTTGTTTGCTTAGAGAAGAACAGCGTGTCTAATTAAAAAAAAAAACTATAGGCTATGGATGAGAACATGATGTAAGTACTACTTACTATTCATGCATCATGCATGTTTGTTCTTTGGACTCGCATGATTAGTGTCAAAGCCTAGTTTACTAATATAAACGAGTTAGGTTAGGAGATGCAATTTTTGTGTAGATTCCAGATCTAGATCCAAATTCTCTTTAAAACAAGGTCTGAGTTAACAAGGAAGCGTGCCATAAACCTAACCACTTAAGAATATATACTATTGGGGCAATTGTAACCTACCAGATCTCTATCGGTTTCATATGAACAATTTTAGATAGAGCATGTCCACTATAAAGAGAGAGGCGTTACAGGCACACCCTTGGCACACCTTGGGCCACACACCCCCTAGCCACAGTGCAGAGGGCTCCACTTGAGATTTTTAAAAAAATCTCAAGTGGGGCCCCATGCACTGTAGCCCGAGGGGGGGTGTGCCTGTATCATTTTCTCTATTTATATGGTGGTCTAAAGATAGTCCCTATATATTTTCTACTGATTTTAGAGTTAATAATTTTTTGGACAACCAACTGTCCACTTAATAGCCAAACAGCTTGTCTATTCTACTTGGAATAATTACTATTAACTCCCCTATTTCTACCAGAGAGAAAAGAAAAAACTAAAAAAGAGAGAAAGCTAACATAAACCTTCTTTAGCGAGACAAATTAGATCAATAAGTATTATAACAATCTAAATTAAACTAATATAATCCTCAGATTGATTACTCATTAATCCTGTCTTCTAGTTGCATGTGAGATATTAGCTTACTAGTGTGGTCCCACAAATTAGGGTGACATCCAGTTGAATGAAGTGGGAGAGTAGTGGGCAAGAAATAGGATCATGTCCCCTTATGCTAGCAACCCTACCCTAATGTTTTTCTGGGCCCATTGTAAATCATAAGAATGATACATGTTCAAACTCCACTTGAGAAGTTCACTCATTTAAACTTGAAAATTTTCTTCAATTAGCTAGAGTAGTATTATATATGGTAACCTCATTTACTCAATCCAAAAAAGGCTAGACCATTGTATATTGATTAGAGGAATTTGGAGGGATGTTAAAAAATTGGAAGGCCATACCCTTGTATGCTTTTTTAGCAAAAAATTAATACCCCAATATATTTGCTATCCCTTTCAATTTAATTTATTCTGCATTTAAGAATTAGGTTAGGGTATCATATACAATATCATAAATGTAAATTTATGCTGCATTTTTATTTTTGATTTATATTTTATATATAGGAAGGATTTGAAAAAGGATCATTATTATGGAAGACGGAGAAAAAGCATCCTTTTACTTCTAAATTTAGCAGCTTAATTGCACTTAATTGCCTTATAGTTTTCCTTACTTTGCTCTTATATATCCTCAGTTATTATATACCCTCATTTATTTTAGCAACATGTATACACGAGTAACAATCCTATCAAAGCACCCCATTGTAGGGGGTGATCTGAACCCTTCACTTGAACTCAAGGGGTGCGGTTGGACATTTACTTACCCCTCCCCACCCCACTCCTTTGTGGGTTCAGATCCCCTCACACTGTGCGGGAGGTTCTGATAAAATTAGTATTTCTTATAAACCCTAAAAGTTATTAAAACTTGCACTTAAATACTCTCAAGTTTGCATAAGTGAGGGTATTTAATTACAAGTTTTAAAAACTCTAGGGTCATTTTTGAAACTTTAGGGTATATAAGTGTTATGAAAACAAGTGAGTATATATACATGCAAGTTCTAGAAATTTCAGGGTATATAAATGCTGCCAAAAATAAGTGACGGTATATAAGTGAAAAGTGTGGCAAACTATAGGGTATTTGAGTGCAATTAAGCCAAATTTAGCACCGTACATTACCAATGATTTTCTATTAATCTTTAGCAAATTGAACTCCCTCTTCTCATCTTTACTAGTATTAGTTTCTTTTTATGATTTTTTTACCGGAAGCACTTCTCAAAAACAAATATAAAATCACAAGTTCCCCAGTTAATTTCTAGCTTTACCAAGAACCTTGTGTACAATTTGTATGAAGAGCTTTGCTACAGGAACCCAAAATATGGGACCAACAGGAGAGACACCTCCCTTGTTGGTCTCATACTTTGGATTAGGGAATTTTTCTTGTATGAATAAAGAACTAACAATGCATTAATTAAGTTGAATTGAATTTTTATAATTCTCCATAAACATCTTATCACTTGATAAGGCATGTCATGAATGTAAATTCCAGTTTGGGTAATAACGAGAAAAGCATTATTTATTACGCCCATTTTATATTAGGTCAAAATGTGAGTAGATATCTTTAACAGTGCACACACTAAAGGGTTAAGGAATTGTTTGGGACAAAGAGAGCGATAGATGACGGCATGGATTTAATAATAAATTGCATATAAATTAGATTTACATCAAACCCATTTCCTGATTCTCTTAATTTTCAAGAAACCTCTTAATCTTACAAATTCAAGAAAAGAACCCTCATCTAGGACAAATTTTAAAAACCATCCGAATTGCAAAAAATTCTTAAAAAACGACATCTTTTAAAAAAAATTGTCAAAACCGACCCAGTGTTAGTCGTTAGAATGAAACTGAGTCGGTTTTGATAATTATTTTTAGAAAAGATCAAAATTTGTAATTATTTGTCAAAATGGGTCTATTTTCAAAATTTGTCCCCTCATCTACGATCATTATTGAAACACTTAATTTTGCCGTGCATTTTGATGCTTTAGACATGTGGACCGATATCCCCACACATTATTCTGGATTAATGGTTTCTTTCAACCTTCAAATATGTGAATTTTTAAATATCTATATCTCTTCAGACATCTATTCAGCGCAATCTCGTAGACATTTGAAGAATAAAACTTCATTGTAAAACAAACAGCATCATCAATGATCATAGATGAGGGTTTTTTTTGAACTTTTTGCAGGAGGTGGTCTCCTGCAAAACCGGATGTAGATAAAGGGGTTCATTGAAATTTACCCTTGTTTTTGAGGGGAGAATTCAGCAAACGGGAATCTTGGCGTTTTTGGGGTGGAGTTATGGATTTCACCGCGACAAATTGAAGAACCCTAAATTAATGCCGAAATCACTGAGATCCACAGCTCTTCTCTTCTCTCTATAGATTCTTTCAGTAGACCCTCACATTCTCTATGACCATTTTGGGCATTTTCGCTCCGTATCCCAAGATCCCACCTTTTCTTCATATTTACTAAGTTTTTTATGTTAATTAAAATACCCAGATCGAGTTTTTCGTGATCAGCTCAGAGATCTGCTCAATTTTTGATTTTGATGCATTGGGGAGCTCTTTCCACTTAGGGTCAGTTCATGGTTACTAATTTGCTTTCTTTCAAATTTCTGCATCTGTTGATGGATATTTTGGTGTGTTTTTGGTCATTTAATGGTTAATTAAGAGACCTAGCTTTTACTTTTGGTTATTATTGGTAATGTACTAGCTCATTGACTTTTTTAGTGTCATTTTTTGTTTTTTCGCTAAATAAAGACTTGAACTTTCCACAAGTTAGATTATGGGATATATGGGATCATTTCTTTTTTTCGTCTGCATTTTGTCTGCCCGATTTCATTTCAGTGGTAATTTTCTGCTCACGGATTGTTTGATGTTTCAAAGGGTTGTGTATTTTTTTGCGACATTACGAGACCAATATCGTTAGTGATTGTTGGTAATGTACTCTTTTTTTTTATTTAGGAATATTGGTTATGTACTTGACCATTGACTTCTATTTTCCCATGCTAAATATCATCTCTATGTTTCCTCTAAAAAGTTCAAGTTTTATAACAATTAGAAATATGAGATCATTTCATTTGTCTACGAATCTTCATTTCAGAATCTTGTTCTAGTGATAATTTTGTGCTAACTGGTTGCTTTCTGAAATATCACTTTTAATTGTTAATTTCCCAAATATAGCTCAATAAAGAAACCACTAAACCTAAGTACTTTGTTCTAGATTTTCTCACTTTGGCTTTTAGACCTTGATTGTTGAAAAGATAATATCTGTTTGTCTCTGCAGGCTTTAGATCTTCATAATTTTTCTTTCAAGAATGCTGGGTTTTACAATTTAGTTTTTGTTGGGATTTATGATTTTGGTCCTTGTAGGCTTGATTTTAAACCTATTACTGTGTTGATTGGATATACTATCTTCATTTTCTAGCTAGTCCCATGAGCTATTTGTTTGAACCTTGCAAGTCTTTCTTCAGTCAATATCCTACTTTTCCAAGATTCTGTGAAATTCATCCAATTGTTGATAGAATAGATGAAACATAAATGAAATTTCAAGTTAACTATGGTGTATTTTCTTAAATTTAAAAGCTGCTTCATTGTTAAATATGGTGTATTTTCTTAAATTTAAAAGCTGCTTCATTGTTTCTTCTAGTTAATTTTTGTAATATCCTTCCTAACTAATGTGGTCATCTGCAAGCTTGGAAGTATGCAGTAGTCTTTTGGAGTATATACAGGTTTTGTGTTATTCGGCAAGTTTATTCTTAAAAAAATTGATTGTTGCTCTTGTTTGAGGCATCGCCGACTATAAATAATGTCAACTGAGCCAGCATCCTTCCACATATCACTTTCTAGTTAATTTTGTTGTCTTACCTTTTACTTCCATTTTCTCACGGAAGTACCTGTATAAGTAGATCTTTCTCACACGATGGCCGGTGCTCGAAACATAAAGCTGGTTTTTATACTTTCCAATTTAAAATATTTCTTTTGAGGAAAATAGTTAGAAAATATGTAGTCATATGCTAATTTAATTGTGAAAGAAGGGATGTAAAAGAGCGAGCATGGAAGTTGGATCAAAGGGTTCTCCCTTTCCGTGTTGGGTTTATTCTTTGGAATGCTGCACATTTTCTTTTTACACAATGCCCGGTGCATGAAGCTAGAACTTGGTATTTATACTGTCCAATTTGCCATTTAATTTTTAGGAAAATAGTGATAATAATATTTTGAGGTCATATGTTAGTTTAATTGTGATAGGAGAGACTACAAAAAAGGACTATTATGAAGTTCGATGAAGTTTCTCCTTTATCGTTTGGGTTTATTCCTTGGAAACTTGCACATTTTCCTTTGAATTAGGATGATTTATCAGGAGTTATTATTACATATTAATAATCAATATTCATTTTTTCCATTGGAATATTTCTTTATCAACGAAAAGAACAAGAAAAATCAGGGGCATTCGACTAATTATCAGTATAATTTGTTGAATACGATCTGGTTATATTTGAACTCTTATTTTCCATGACCATTTTTGTTAGATCAAAGTGCTTGTGCTCGAATATGTTTGGTTGCTTTATGTTTTTCTACAAAGTGATAGGACTCTTCCATCCTACATCATTCTTCCTTATGTTTTCTACAGGTAATTTATGAGAGACAGTACCAACCTTGTATACATTGGTTATAGGACCTTTAACCTTCTTTCAGGTTTTTAAGTGGAGAGGAAATGGTGGAAACATGTGTTGCACCAAGTGAACTTCACTTGAAAAAGGAGCTTACGGCCCTTCAAAAAGCACATTATTTACGCGACCCCGAGACTTGTTCATCTTGGAAGTCCCCTTTGAGCTCCAATTCATTTAGTGCATCCAATAAGTTGAATTATGGAAATGGTCTTGCTGGTAAAACAGGAGAAAGTGACACTCGAAAAATGCTTGAAATACCACCAAGTGATATTGCACAGAAAAGGGTTTACCTTTATAATTGGAAGAATCATTCTAGTAAATCAAGTGGCAACATGATAAAGTTAGATGATGATGATAGACAAATATCAATTGAAGACAGTCTAGAAGACAGCTTCAAGAATGCTCACAAGGCAGATTCCACAAGCATCAGTCATCTTGAGGTTCCTTCCAATATCTCTAGTTTCAGAGGGAGAAGATCTAAAGCTCCAGTAAGAAAAACCGTAAAAAAATTGAGAAATGCAGTTTCTAACAAACAGGTGAAGAAGGATTTGGTTTTCAACACAGTCGAACAATCTGAAGATACCGAATACTCCAACTCTGAGGATTTGATGCAGCTAACACATGTGCTAACAAGTAAAGCAGCTCATGATTCTCTTTCCGAGTCACCATTATTTTCTGGATCAGGATGTGGAAATTGGTCATACTCCTCGAAAATCTTGAGAAATATTAAAAAGGAGGTGTCATCACATTCATGTACTCCTGCATCAACTAGCTCTTACTATAGATATTATGGAGGTCGCAATGCCAATATCGAGTCATGGGACGGAGCAGCAACTTCAATAGAAGGTGATGAATTGGATCAGCTAGACTTACCAAGAACTCAGGGGTGTGGCATTCCTTGCTATTGGCCAAAGAGAACTAAAGAGAAGGGTTGTGGAGGTTTTGTTTCTCCGTCATTATCTGATACACTAAGGAGAAAAGGGAGCAGCTTATTTTATAGCAACAAGAGATCACCTGGTGCCCGTAGGCAAAAGTACCTTTCGAAATCTTCACAAGGTTTGCCATTGTTGAGTAATAGTTGCGGTGAAGGTAATTCTTCATTAGATAGTGCAAGTGATGAAATGTCTACAAACTTAGGGGAGCTTGAGTTGGAGGCCTTGAGCCGATTGGATGGACGAAGATGGTCAAGCTGTAAAAGCCAAGAAGGATTACAATCTGTTCAATCTCAAGAAGTTGACATGGATTCAACAGAACATAAAAGCTTGAGCCAAAAGTACTGCCCGAGGTCTTTTGATGAAATAGTTGGCCAAGATATTGTTGTTCATTCACTTAATAACGCCATTCTAATGGAAAGAATAGCCACTGCTTATCTTTTTCAAGGTCCCAGAGGAACTGGGAAAACAGCTATAGCCAGAATATTTGCTGCGGCGTTAAATTGTTTGTCTACTGAAGACAATAAACCATGTGGATCTTGTCGAGAGTGTACTTCTATTTTCAGTGGAAATGGATCAAATGTGAGAGAAGTGGATGCTATCAACAAGAAGGGTATAAATAGAGTAAGGTATCTTTTGACGAACATGTCTGTGGGTAAATCAGTTTCACGATACAAAGTTTTCATTATTGATGAATGCCACATGTTATCTTCTAGAATGTGGTCGGCATTTATGAATATTCTTCAAGAACCACCTTCTCGTATTGTCTTCATTTTTGTGACAATTGATCCGGACAGTTTGCCTAGGGCCATTATCTCACACTGTCAGAAATATCTCTTTTCTAAGGTTAAAGATGTTGATATAGTTTCCCGGTTGAGAAAGATGGCTTATGAAGAAAATCTTGATATTGAATTAGATGCTCTAGATTTGATTGCTTTAAATTCAGATGGTTCACTGCGGGATGCTGAAACCATGTTAGACCAGTTGAGTTTGCTGGGCAAAAGAGTAACCACTTCACTTGTATATGAGCTCGTAAGTTTATTTTCTGCTCTATCCCTCATCAACTTGATTCATACTCTTTATCTTATTTATTTTTTCAGGACTTGAGTTTATAAACTGCTGATTAGTTTAGAGACTTCACTTTTTCGTTTCTTGACTCGGGTTCTCTTAAAAGCGGACATATGAAGAAAATGGAAGCGTTCATTGCGCCATACATATCTTGAATTCACTGATAAAAAGATTACATTTTTTTTCAAGTAGATAAGAATCTCAATGATATTATCCTTTCAACATATGAAATATTTGTCTTATAAGTCTGATGTTTTGACAAAACTTTTACTACTAGCTTCAATTTGTACTCATTAACTGTCAACTAATGGCTTATCAACAGAATGTTGCCTCTGCAGAATAATTGGCTTAGAATAAATGAATTTTCTTTAAAAAGTGAAGTCGGCATAAGTCTGAACTCATCCAATATATTAGTTAATGGGTTATAATACAATTATTCAGGCTTGCCTATTTTTTTTTCAGATGAGAATTTCTCAATTCTCCAACCATTCTTATTGCGCTTTCAAAATTTTCAGATTGGAGTAGTCTCAGATGAGAAATTGCTTGATCTTTTGGAGATAGCAATGTCATCAGACACTGCAGAAACAGTTAAAAGATCGAGAGAGTTCATGGATTCTGGTGTTGACCCAATGGCTCTGATGTCTCAATTAGCTGCGCTCCTAATGGACATTATTGCTGGAAGTAACCAGTTGGCTGATCCACAATTTAGGGGTATAGCACTTGGTGAAAGAAGTTGTGAGTTCTCCTTGTCATATTGTTTCTTAATGCTATATTATATTGAAAATTATATGTTAGTGGCTGTTCATCATTGGAGTTCAAAATTGTCCCTGAAATCACCACAACTCAGTTTTTGTTCAGTGACAGGGAAATGACGCTAGTATAGAAGCCATAACCTGTAGATGAAGAGCATTAAAACACATATCAACCCTCATACATACATTACATAGTTACATACATACATATAAAAACTTAAAATTGTATTTTAAATCTGAACATGTTGATGGATGGTTTTTAGAGAAATATATGATATTCACCTAATGCATGTTCTTGTAGTACATAAAGGTTCGCTTGCTGGTGTGGTTCCAGAAAGTTTCTAAAATAGATGAATATACATCATGTTAAACAAGAACGAATATTTGTTCCTTTATTGGAGGAACCCATTTTGCATGTTTATATATTTTATGAATTTGCTTGGTGCAAAATTCTATCCTTTTAGATAACACATTTCCATATTTGGTCAATAACGATCTGATCAATCAGCTACCTTCTAAACATATTTTGTTAGAGGCAAAACTTTAGTGGAGGTCCGTGAAATATGGGTAAAAAATCATTTAGGTCCTTACTGTTTGTAAGTCATCAAATAAAGACGGTTCCTTTCCGAAAAAATCCATTAAAAACTGCTTAGCACGTTAAAGTTGTAATTTTTGAAAATTGTTTGCTGCCCAAGTCTTTCATGTTTGAAATGTGTTCTCCAAATCTTAATATTTTGAAATTAGTCCGCCAAATCTGTAGGTATTTTGATATTAGTGCCCTAAAACTTCATACTTTGAAATTAGTCCCCCAAATATGTTAGATGTTTTGAAATTAGCTCCCCAAATATTTCAACCTAGTGCTATTTAGAAGGACTAATTTCAAAAAACTTGAAAGATGTAGAAGACTAATTTCAAAATATGAAGGTTTGGAGAACTAATTTCAAAATATGAATATTCAGGGAACTAATTTCTAAACACTTAAAGTTTTGGGGGACTAATTTCAAAATATAAAATTTTGGGAGACTAATTTCAAAATACAAAAAATTTGATGGATTAACATTTAGAGCCGGCGTCAGAGAACCACCTTGTTACCAGAATGAGTTCAACTTTACTTTTGGTTTTTCCGATATTAACACCCCCCAAAATAAAATAAAATAAAATAAAATAATAAAATAAAATATATTAATAAAACCAAATCTTTCATCTTTTGAAATTAGTCCCCCAAATTTTCATATTTTGAAATTATTTCCCCAATGTTTAAGTGTTTTGAAATAAGTCCTCGAAGTCTTCATATTTTGAAATTAGTCCCCCACAATTTTTAAGTTTCGTAAAAATTAGTCCCTTTAGTCAGCACTAGGTTGAAATATTTGGGGGACTAATTTCAAAACACTTACATATTTGGGGACAAATTTCAGAATATGAATATCTGGGGGACTATTTTTGAAATATCTATAGATTTGGGAGGCTAATTTCAAAATATGAAGATCTGGGGAACACATTTCATAATATGAAAGATTTGGGGGACTAATATCCAAAAAGCCCTCTACTTTTTAGTCTAATAAGCAAGGAGTAGGAAAGAGCAATCAATTTTCAAAAATGACAACTTCAACTTGCGACATCAATGATTTTCAATGGAAATTTTTGAGTAGGATCTGCTCAGCTGAAGACAGAGCAAGCATTAAGAATCTTATTTGATGACTTACAAACATTAAGGACCTAGATAACGTTTGACACATGCTTCAAGGACCTTAACTGAAGTTTTGCCTTTGATTAGATATGCTCCAAGTAGAACTTCATGATTTTGTCTAAAATAAACATGTAATAGGGTAGTGAAGTTTAACTTTCCCCTCTTCAGTTGGTCTTATTGAATCCTACTGCTTTTTAGTAAATGAAGACGAGTTGAAGAGATTAGAAAAAGCACTGAAGATTCTCTCAGATGCAGAAAAGCAACTAAGATTCTCAAGCGAGCGTTCGACATGGTTCACTGCAGCTCTACTACAGCTAGGCTCTAGCCAAAGTGCAGAATTTACTCAATCAAGCAGTAGCAGCAAACATAGTACAAAAGAAATTAATGATGGCATAGACAGCGGGGCTAAGGATTCATCTTTCACAGTCCAAGGGTCGAGTTCAGCACGAGTTTCTAGAGCAAACAGCGGATATTCTAGCCCTCAAAGCTGCTCATCATCATATAAAGTTCCAAGGAATGTGAAATTAACTTCTGCTAGATTACATGGAAATGATACTTACGGCCCAGGGGCAATAATGTGCATAAGTCCGGATAAGTTGGCTTTGATGTGGAGAAGGTGCATTCAGAAATGTCACTCTGAGACACTGCGACAACTGCTGAGCTCCAATGGGAAGCTTGTATCAATTTCTGAAACCAAAAGTAAGTTATACTTCATGTTGGCTATCGCTGAATTCCAATTTGATGCTTAAAATGTATGCTCTATGAGGTTTGCTAATAGATCTTAGGTACTTTTTCACATTGACACCTAAAACTTTCCCTAAATCCCACTAGTCTCTCTTCTTTCCCACCTCAAATTATATGAGTTGGACAAAAAACTGTCGTCTATGTTAGCCGAGTACTTCTACCATGAAGCCAAACGCATACCGAACACATTCATGACATGTACCCGTACCCAAACTTCATGGACGCTCCTTGGATATATGCATACATTTATTAAAACATGTACTTAAGTATGTGATATATGTCTTAATTTAAAATACTTGTCATGTACTTTTTGAACTTATATCCTACACTTCATGTCCATTTCTTGAAACTCGTTAGACATGTGTTGTTTTTTATCATTCCATATCCAAGTTTGAACCTTTGATTTAAAAGGGTGGTTTGAGTGTCTAGTTAAAAAATGAGCAGTTTCCAATTTATAATAATCAACATAATAAAATATAGGAATTTAAATTAAAATAGCACCTGAATTAAATAATAATAATGATCTCATGTAAATTATTAATTTTAATATATATGTAGTCGTGTCCCTGTACCCTATATTTCACAAATTTGCCATGCCCCGCACCCATACCGTCACCCATACAAGCACCCGTACCCGTTTGCATGCAACTTAGACTGTCGTATTTTCAACTTTGGTGGAGTGGGTCTTTATTGATAAGGATTTATTGTTTGTTGTTTATAGCATACTTTTTGTTTATAAAAGCAATGCCATCTATTTTTCTATAAATTTCTTTAGGAAGAATTATTCTTTTTGATGTACAAAAGATCATATTTATGCTTTTCTATTTTAAATTATGTAAAATGTCTTCCACTATACAACCGTATGACTTTCTACTTTTTGCAGGCACACTGATCGCTAGCATAGTGTTTGAAGACAGTAATGTAAAATCAAGGGCTGAGAGATACTTGAACAGCATCAAGAGTTCATTTGAGATTGTTTTGCAACACAATGTGGAGGTCAGAATAGGTCTACAGTCAAATCCCTACTCCCCATCATTCAACCATATAGAGAAAAATAGAGACTCTACTAGCTTAAAGGTTTCTTGTAATGATAAATGTAAGGGAATTCCCAACTTGCCTAGGAAAAGACTCGAGTGTTCTGAAGCTAGGCAACAGAAAACATTAGAGCAAGGGGATAGCTCTCTACAGAAACATGCAGATGTTGTCGTTGAGCATAGACTTGAAAGAGCATGGCTTCAAGCTTCAGATAAGAATTCAATTGACTTAAGCAGTCAGTCAAATCCCAATAAAAATCAGATTTTGCCTGAAAATGGTGTCAGCTGTGAGAATCATAAAATGTCTTTGATATCATCTAAACATTGGGAAGCTGAGCTGAATCACGAGGTTAAAGGTTTAAAAATCGGTGATAGTCAAGGACAGCATAAGAAACAAATTGATGGGCAAATTGATCATTATGCAATTTCTCCAAGTTTATTGCACAGTAACGGCTTCACAGCAAATTCTGACAAAGAGAATGTGTAAGTTCTCTAACTCTTTCACATAAATGCATCGGTCTATTCCATTCCTCCATTGTCTCTATAGTCATTTGCAAATAATAAAAAAATTGGTTTTTGTTAGTGACTTTGACAATGCGTATATTATGTACTTCTGTATGTATTTGTGTATGTATGTATGCATGCATGGATGGATGGAAATAATGGGCATGAGGCATACGAGCTACTAAGAGATAGACTAGTGTCGTAGCCTGTCCTCTTAGTCATATTTCAGCACGTGAACCTCACTCTCTTTGTAGCCCATTCTGCTAAAGAATTTGACAGTTTTCAACTCATACCCAATATTCCCTCTTTATACAATACGTTTGTATGTGTATACACACACACATATATGTAAGAATGTACGTATGTAACTATGTATGTATGTGTACATGTATTTATTGGACCACGCAGATTGTTTTAGGATTGTATGATCTTTAATCTATTTTATTCTGATGATCATTTGACTGTTATTTTCAGGGATTATGAGTCAGGACCTGGTTGCAATGGGTTCTTTTGTTGGCAACCACGTAAATCTTACAGTAGGAAGGTGGGATTTAGACCTTGATTTTTGTTAATAACAATTTAGACCTTGAATTTTAGTCAAATTTTTTTTATAACTTACGAAAGTTATACATCCAATGTTTTTTTTTCTTGGAAAAAACTCAGGTGAAGAAAGGAATTCATGCACAATCACCTAAGATTCGCCGTCTTCACTGCTTGGGAAGTTCTAGGTTGAAGGCATCAAAAAGCAAAGCGAGGATATAATTATCCCAAAACGTTCATTCTTCCTATACATTTTCTGTATATTCTCACAGAGGCATTCATTTTTCAATTATAAGGTACGTCTCTCTGGCTAGCTATCATACTGTTACTGCCATACTAAGCCAAATATCATAAAAGGTGTATCATACAACAGTAAATTGATTCAGGTAGCTGCTTTTAGTTTATCTATGATTTTTCATCCATGCATTAGTTTTTTTGAATTCTGGAAATGCTCCAAATAAATAAATACTTTATTTTTAAAGTCAGTTTGATTCTTATATGCCTAGCCCATTGCATTAATGTTGCCAAAATGATGTCTATTCTTAGATTAGCCAACTTGGGCATTTGTGCACTTATCAAAAGGTAGACTTTCCTTACGATCCTGTCAGTTTCATACACATTTGAGCTGAAGATATATTATGTAACATGCAAGGAATAATAAGTTCATACTCTTTGCGAAAGATAGACAATTAAAGCCTAGTTTCATTGTGAGTGACGATTGATTTATGTACTTCTGAGCTCTGTCATCAATCTGAAAAACTTTCAATCTTTGTACCCCGCAATGGTCAATGTAGTCATGTTACAGAAAACATGGGTTTTAGTTACAAATCAAATGGATATTTATCATGATGACAATCAAATGGTTTTCACTGCGACATCTTCATAACTTGTCATAAAAGCGAAGACTACTTTATCTGTTAGTTATGCAAGAACTGAGGAAGCTTAAACAAACATATGCAATTATGGCATGCAGGTTTTGAAAGGGAAAGCAGGCTGAATCAATGGCATTATTATAGAGGAAATGGTTGGGTTTGCTCCTTGACTGACTGCAAGAAATATCCCATGGCGAGGCACCAAGGAGTTAAAACTTTTTATGATAAATTTTCGTTGTATTGTTATTAAATGTAGCTTATTTTTTATTCTTCTTCTCAGTAGTTGAATATTTTTTCCTCCTTTAGTTTCTTTAAAATGCAAGTATGTATGAGTTGATATTCTGCTAAGCTATAAATGTATAATAAATCCTGCCACTGGACGAGCTATAGGTCCTGTTTATGATTACCTTCTATCTCAGTCATTTTCAATTATTTTATGCTAATTTTTTCTCTCTATTTATGATGCCTGTGTGATGCATGGGCTTATTCCTCTCGTAGACTTTGATCTCTGATTGGTTCTATGGATAGTACGAATGCC